TAAAAAATTAAAAAAATTATCGAAGCTTGGTCATGTCTATGTTAATGCTCAGCTTGGTAAAAAATATATCATAATAAAAATAGATTAAAAAAATATAAAATAAATGAAAGTAAAAAAAAAAAAAACATTGTATCTTCTCTTATAACAAAATCTTCATTCATACGAGACACAAAAAGCCACGTAATTATTTTATTTCATATCACCTGCTGGAAAATATGATTATGATACATTCTAACTGTTAAATGCACTATGACGTTATGGCTACATACCAGATGCATCAAAGCCTCCCGTCACGTGTGTACTTAAGCCATTCAGTTAGCAAATAAATAATTGAAATGAAATGAGATTAGATAAAATAAATAATCAAGTAATTTATTAATTGAACCCAAAACTTCCTGCCTTTTTTACTTTACTTTTGCTTACGTCAGACTTCACTTCTTATTTCTAGTCAGTATTTTTTTTTTTTTTTTTTTCAGAAAGTGTGTCAGGATGAAATGATATTTTGATCGGATAAGATTATTCAGATCTCAATTGATGTGTAATAAACAAAGGGTTATTATCATTATGACGATAGTTTTATTTTGGATCACTGCGGAATGTCAATTCAATAGATTTTTTTTATTAATTTTCTTTTTTTCTTTTTCTTTGTCTTTTTGTTTTATCTTCATAGTCTTCTGCTACTACTATTACTATCACTATTACTACTACTACTACTCTTCTTCTTCTTCTTCTTCTTCTTTCTCCTTCTTCTCCTTCTTCTTCTTCTCCTTCTTCTTATTCTTCTTATTCTTCATCTTTTCTTTCTCTTCTTCTTCATTTTTATCTCCATTCTAATTCCATCTTTAACTTTATCCTTATCTCCATCTCCATCTCCATCAACATCATCTTCATCTTCATCTTCATCTTCTTCATCTTCGTGTTCTTCTTCTGCACTTAACACTTTGGGGATTATTGATGAAAAGGTGAAAGATAGCTATAACTACTTTATAACTAACAGGTTAGCAATGACAGCTAATTGAAATGCAATAATGTCATTATCAACCAATATTTTGCACATAAACTGATAACAACAAGTTAACGAAAAACACGAGAGAAAAAATATATAAATAAATAAAATAACTTAACAGGATATGAAGTTTTTGAAAGAATGTTATGTTTCCTTGTGTTATTTCCGTTTCAAGTTCTGTAAAAAAGAACAAGGTTGATTTACCTTCTTAATTCCCCCGGGTTTATATTCCTGGCGTAATCCTGATAGTGATGAAAATAACAGTAATGACGGTGATGGTGATGATGATGATAAAGATAGTAATGATGATGATGGTGGTAATGATGATGATGATGAGGAGGAGCAGGAGAAAATGATGATGATGATGATGAGGAGCTGAATGATGATGATGATGATAATGATTATGATTATGATTGTGATAATGACGATGATGATGATGGTTATGATGATAATGATGATAATAATAGTAATAATAACGAAAGTGAAGAGTGAGGTGACACTGGTGTAATCATGTTGTAAAAAATAACATTAATGACGATGATAGTTATTATGATAGCAATAATGATGAATAATATGATAGCGATAATAATGATAGTTGTAGTAACAATAATAATGAAAATAAGATAATGATAATACATGCAAAGGTGGACTAACCGAAACGACATCTGTTGAGGAAATATCAAACCTATTTTCTAAACGTAAAAATGACGATCTAAAAACAAGATAAAAGTGTACGTGTGTTGTGTGAAACGTGTGCGACTCTGTGTGTGTGTGTGTTTGTGTAAGTGTACGTGTGTGTGTGTGTGTGTGTGTTGTGTGTGTGTGTGTGTGTGTGTGTGTGTGTGTGTGTGTGTGTGTGTGTGTGTGTGTGTGTGTGTGTTTGTGTTGAAATGTGCGTTTACGTGTGCGTCTGTGTGTGTGTGTGTGTGTGTGTGTTGTGTGTGTGTGTGTGTTGTGTTGTGTGTGTGTGTGTGTGTTTGTGTAAGTGTACGTGTGTATGTGTGTGTATGTATTTGTGTAAGTGTACGTGTGTTGTGTTGGAATGTGCGTTTACGGGCGCGACTGCGTGTGTGGGTGTGTTGCGCCATGCCATTCCCGCCTCGGCTCGCATGTTGAGGAGAACGAGCTCAGTTAACCTCAATTACTGAAGCCCAAAGCAATTACCTGATTGGACACACTTTTTAATTGACATTACCTACTTCAGCCTTCATTAGCCCTCGCGCCCACAGCGGAGCGAGGAAAGTAAACACATTATTGAAAACTGATTAACTTCCGCTCCATAAGATTGTTCCGTTACCGAGTCCACTTGAAACATCAATTCATCTCGAATGGAGCTGGAGAACTGATAGAATATGAAATGAGACGAAGAAAAAGTATGCGAAGTCCAAGTTTTTTTATTTCTCCTTTTTGTGCCACCGACATGCTGTACCATTGAAAGTTAATATGTTCGGCATTAAACAGAAGAAAGCATTTTTTTTTCTAATTCCGTTCATCTTACACAAGTAATCTGTACATTTTTTGTTCATATGTGTTAACTCATCTTCGATATAACAACTAAAATCATCAATAAATTCTATACTAAATCTTTTTTAAAATCTAGCACCGTAAAACCACACGTCAGCATCAGGGCAATATCCAGAATGTTGCAAAATGGATGATTGCAGTTTTTTGCAACATTCCTGCAGCACGAAATGTAGGTGTAAATAATCAAACAGCTGTGGAGCGACAACGAAAAAAAAAAGTTTTTTTGTCCCTTGTCCATCAAGTCATCAGCGACAGCCCTTTAAAACACGAGACACAAATAAATAAAAGAAAATGTTTGCGATACTTTTCTGCAGTGGCAATTATACAACAGAGCTGTGGATGGATTACATAAAAAAATAAAAGAGATACGTACATATAAGTACACACACATATGAATATAAATATATATATATATAGATAGACAGATAGATAGATAGATAGATAGATATAGATATAGATTATATATATGTATATATACATATATATATTATATATATATATATTATATATATATATATATTTATTTATTTATTATATATATATATATATATATATATATATATATATATATATATATATATATATATATATATAACATATATATACATATATATATATATATATATATATATATATATATATATATTATATATATATATATATATATATATATATAATATATACAGATAGATGATAGATAAATATCTAGACATAAAGATAGGCAGACAGATGTATAGACAGCAAAATAGACAGACAGACATACAGACAGATACACAAATGGGTACATAGGTATAGACATACAAAATCATATAAAAAAAAACAATGAGGGTTATTTTCCACCACATAACCTAAAAAAAAAAAAAAAAAAAAAGACTTTGCCCACACTCGATTTTTTAACGAAAATATTCAAAGTACGAAAATAGCGAAACATAAACAACATATTGACTGCTCGTACTCCCCGCTTCATGTATGATTGAGGGTGTTTTAGCGAGTGCAGCTGGGTGTCTCGAGCCAGCTGCTGTCTTGAGTACGGGGAAGGGAGGGGGAAAGAGGAGGAGGGGGGGGAAAAGGGAGGGGAGAGGGAGGGAAGGGGGAAGGGAAGGGAAAGGGGTGAGTGGAGGGAGGGAGGGGGAGGGGAAGGGGAAGGGGGGAGGGAGGGGAGGGGAGGGTTAAGGAGGGGGTAGGGAGGGAAAGGGGGGAAGGGAAGGGGAGGGATAAAGGCAGGGAGTAGGGAGGGAAGGGAAAGGGAGGGTAAAAGGAAGAGGAAGGAAAGGGAGGAGGAGGGGAGGGAAGGGAAAGAGGACGGAGGGGAAGGGAAGAGGAAGGGTTAAAGGGAGGTTTGGGGAGGGAAGAAAGGGGAAAAAGAAGGGAGGGGGAGGTAAGGCAGAGGTATGAGGAAGGGGAGGGGAAGAGGAAGCTGAAGGGGAAGAGGAGAGGAAGAGGAAGGGAAGAAGGAGGGAAGGGAAGGGGAGGAAGAGGGAGGGAAGGGAAAGGGTGCTGGAAATGGCATTACGAAAGGAAATGAGAAGGAGGAGGGGAAGGGAAAGGACGGGGGAAGGAGTTGAAGGAGAAGGGGAGGAGATGGAGCAGTAGAGAAAAGGTGTTCTTCGTCCCTCTCTCAATAACATATATGTTAGAGATTTTAAGAAAATGTATGAAAAAGTGTGTGTGTATGTGTTTTATATATAATATATATATATATATATATATATATATATATATATATATATTATATATATATATATATATATATATATATATATATATATATATATATATATATATATATATATATATATATATATATATATATATATATATATTATGTATATATAATACATTTGTGTCCGTCCCCCAATTGTGTATACGTATATATACTTCTGTGTACGTTTCTAAATGTCTGCACGCTTATATAGATATGCGTCCGTTTCCAAAAGCATGTATGTAATATGCATGTGTACGCGCCGCAATGCGTGTGTACGTGTCTTCGTATGACCGTCCTTTTACACCGAATCTTCCGATGATGTTCAGGAGAATTATCCGCCTGACCCTCGCATTCTTCATCAACTTTTCTCTATCAGTTTTCTCTCTTAAAGTTCTCTCGTATTTTCCCAAGACCGAAAAAAGACCAAGTTCCGTGACAATTGTGAGAGTTTACGAGACAAGGCGAGAAAGCGCGAGGTCTGGGGGGAGGGGGGGAGGGGAGAGGGGGATCTCGGCGGGGGGGGGGGGGGGGAGTGGGGGAG